TCAGTGTGGTGTTTGAGGCTTATACACAATTTGAGCAGAGTATGCTTGCGGCAAAGCTGGAGGCAGCTGAAGAGGATGGGGCTGCGGGGAGCGACGAGGGTGAGAAAGGGGGCAAGAAGAATAAGGTGGAGAAGCTAGAGAAGGAACTTGCAGCGTGTTGGTTGAATGATGAAGATGACACTGATTTGAGGCTGGCAAGGTTTGAGCGGCTATTGGATCGCAGACCAGAGCTCCTTAGCAGTGTCCTGTTGAGACAGAATCCACATAATGTGGAGGAGTGGCACAGGTGAGACTTGATATAGCACCTTGATTTATCAATCGGTTCTGCTTGACTTACATTGAGCCACTAATATTGAATATAAATCAATCCATCCATTGCATTTATTCTCAAGGACAAGTTCCTAATTGCTTAGTGGTAGCGACTCTCAAATCTTATTTAAAGTTAGTTGAAGCCATGGAATGTGAAATTACCCTGTCTAGTTTTTCTTTTACTTCTCAGCCTAGTATGCATTTTAGGTGGTCTCCAACTTGACTGAATTGTCTAACAGTGCAATAATATGTGCAGGAGAGTTAAACTTTTTGACAAGGATCCCGCAAAGCAAGTAGCGACATATGTCGAGGCTGTGAAAACTGTGGACCCAATGAAGGCAGTTGGGAAACCTCATACTCTATGGGTGGCATTTGCAAAGATGTATGAGAAACATAACCGCTTAGATAGTGCTGAAGATATCTTTAAAAAGGCCACACAAGTGAACTATAAAGCAGTGGACCACTTGGCTACTATTTGGTGTGAATGGGCCGAAATGGAGCTCCGCAACCAACATTTTGACAAGGCAATTGAGCTGATGAGGTTAGCCACAGCAGAGCCCTCTGTTGAGGTGAAGAGGCGAGGTATAATTTATTTTGTTCAGTTGTGTTGATTTCTTGTATATTTGGCAAACCATTTTTGCTGACGATTTACATTTTCAGCTGCTGCGGAGGGTGACGAGCCGGTCCAGCTGAAATTACATAAATCTCTGAAATTATGGAGTATCTATGTTGACCTGGAGGAGAGCCTTGGGTCATTGGAAACAACCCGTGCTGTTTATGAGAGAATATTAGATTTAAGAATTGCCACTCCTCAAATAATTCTTAATTACGCATTTCTTCTTGAGGTAGGATCTTTGCTCAAAGTACATACTTTTGAAGTTTCAAGTAGACTTGTCCAATTGATCTGCAATGGTTGTTTACTATTTTCTTCCTCTGCAGGAGAACAAGTATTTCGAAGATGCTTTTAAAGTGTATGAAAGAGGTGTAAAAATATTCAAGTATCCCCATGTTAAGGATATTTGGGTGACCTACCTCACAAAGTTTGTAAAGCGGTACCAGCGAAGCAAGTTAGAGCGGGCAAGAGAGCTGTTCACGGAAGCTGTCGAAAAGGTAAATAAATTATCTTGTCCCTTGAATTTTGTCATCGGTCTACTTATGCTGCCAAACACACACCAAACAAGTTAGAATTTCCATTTGAGCATATATATATAGCCCACAAATCTCCTTACCTAGGGGTGATCATGCATTTCCATTGGTAAATGACTCAAATTCTACCATGTCAGTTTTATGATTAGGCGAAGTACTATTGTGTAGTGTCAACTACCATGTACACGTTCATATATATATATATACATATTGTCCATCTCATATTTTAAAATATTCATGCACATAGAACTTTTAAAAACATCCATTCTCGATTTTTAGAACAAGGTATCACCCTGTTGGCTAGGCTCGCAAGGAGTAGCCCACTCGTGCTCGAGGCCTAGTGGTGCATGATGCTTAGAGACTTCTATAAAAATATGCCTCTAAAGGTGTCCTGAATGGTCTTGTATTTTTTTGATGTATTTGAAAAAAAAAGAATGGTTGTTTCCACATACTTAAGATCAAATCAGTTTGGCGACCTCAGGGATGCAAAATCAAAACATATCACAGTTTCATATGAAAACACAAAGCTTCATGATTTAAAACTTTTTCCCTGTCAATTGTCGTCAGTTACCACCTAGTAGGATAAAAAATACCAATAACTATTCCCCCAGCAGATTTTTTTAGGGCCTGTCTAATTCTAAGTTGCGTGATTTTTAATTCATATGTCGTCATATCAGAGTTTCATATGAAAATCGAAACATATCACAGTTTCATATGAAAACATGAAGCATCATCATGATTTAAAACATTTTTCCTACTGTGTGTAACTAGAACTGTTACCAACTTGCATGTGTCAAATTACGTTTCTAAACTGGTGATCTGATCACAAATTCTGAAGGGGAGCCTTGGCGCAGCGGTAACGCTGTTGCTTTGTGACCAGGTCACGGGTTGAGTCCTGGAAACAGCCTCTTGCAGAAATGCAGGGAAAGGCTGCATACAGAAGACCCAAAGTGGTCGGACCCTTCCCCGGATCGTGCGCAAGCGGGAGCTACATGCACCGGGCTGCCCTTTTTTTTATCTGATCACAAATTCTGTCTTTGCTTCGCTTCTTAAGAACAAGGTCATAATAATTCTTGTGATGTGATATCATTGTTGCTTGTACTTTGCTATATTTGCACTTGTTGATTTCCTGTTTTCTCTCAGAACCTTCTGTTGCCGCTTCTTGTTATGCGATTATATGTGCACTTGCTTGCTTATTTAGACAGAAACCATTCTTACCTGTTCTTTTCTTGCATCACATACTCATCTAAAATATTATGTTCCATAAATTGTCTTGTTACTTACATTTTGCTTCTTTGGCTCAGGCTCCGCCGCACGAAAAGAAGGCCTTGTATTTGCAATATGCTAAACTGGAGGAAGACTACGGCCTCGCAAAACGTGCCATGAATGTATATGATGAAGCTGTAAGGGCTGTTCCCAACACTGAAAAGATGAGTATGTATGAAATATACATTGCACGTGCTGCTGAACTTTTTGGTGTTCCAAGGACCAGACAAATATACGAGGTAAGCGTATTATCTTGGTTTGTCCCTGGTTTTCCGTTCTTGCTTTATAATGTTGCTTCTGGATTGGCATTTTCAAGTCCTTGTTCCGAGATCCATTTTTTGTGGATTTCTGGCATGGCAAATGGAATAGATTTATAGTGACCCAGCTTCTTAATCTTGTTTCTTGCTGATTAGTTGCAATAGTTCATAACACATGAATCTTCTATGCTCCCTCTAATGGCCAAATTTGTGTATAAAAAAGTTCAGTTGTTATTTTCTCTACACTTCACACTCTAGATTTAGCCTGCCTGCTCCCACAATGCTGACAGATGTTTTAGTGGTAATACATGTACTAACTTTATTCCTGGCTTTCTTGGCATCTTTGCAGCAAGCTATAGAATCTGGTCTCCCAGACAAAGATGTTATGGTGATGTGCATGAAGTTTGCGGAACTTGAAAGAAATCTTGGAGAAATCGACCGTTCCCGGGCTATTTATATCCACGCCTCCAACTATGCTGATCCAAATTCTCACCCAGAGTTCTGGAAAAAATGGAACGACTTTGAGATCCAACATGGTAATGAAGATACATTCAGGGAGATGCTTCGCATCAAGCGTACAGTGGCCGCTAGCCGCAGTCAGGTATGTCACTTGGATCAACTCTATAGACAGTTTGGCATCAATGAACATCCTTGCGTTGTAAACTGACGCTGTACTTGTGCCATGTGCAGACTCATTTCATCCTTCCGGAGTACCTGATGCAAAGGGACCAGAAGCTAAACATGGATGAGGCGGTCGACACTCTGACGCGTGCCGGTGTCCCGCAGGATGAGATGGCCGCCTTAGAAAGGCAGCTAGCTTCTGGACCATCCCCGGCGCCAGCAGCGGCTCCAAGCACCAGTACGACTCCTGCAAACAGAATGATGAACTTTGTTAGTGCCGGAGTAGAGGCACGGGCCGAGAGCAGCACGCAACAGGCTGCTGCTAACAACGAGGACATCGAGCTGCCCGACGAAGAGAGCGACGAGGAGGACGATGTCCAGATCGCGGAGCGGGCTGTCCCTGAAGCCGTGTTTGGCGAGCTCGGCAAGAGAGCCGCAGAGAGCAGGGAGGAAAGCTCTAGTGCTCAAGAGAACAACGAGCAACAGCTGGGTGCTCTCGAGAGAATCAAGCGAAGGCGTCAATAGGGTCGAAGATTGTGATCCAAGCACGCCATTACCTGTCGTTTGAGCCTAATGATGTTGTAGCTGTTACGTGTAAACATGTTCTTGCTAGCGTTTGCTCTTCTTGTACAAGGATTTTGCAGGAGTTAATCCGGTGTTGATCCGCAGCGTTTTTCTTTGTACAAACTGTAAACTCTTGGGACACGTGTCCATCATTTTCAGTGAAATTTTGTCGATTCAAGGATGAACAATGGACTGGCAGCTTTGTTTGGATGGTGGCCAAAGTTTACCCTACCAAATTTTGTTTCATGACCAAAACTTTGGCCAATAACTCATTGTGCACAACCAAACTGCCATTGAATAGCGTTCGCTTACCGCCGCTCTCCCAGCTGATGTTCGCTGGGTAACATTACCAAAACTAAACCAATATTTTGGCTAGTTAAATATTTGGCAAGGCAAACTTTTTTTTGGCTTAAAACCAAACACATCCTAAAGCCTTTGTACTGAGAAATATACACATTTGTTTTCAATAACTCTTTTCAATAATGTATTATCCAAATTTGATTTCAAATAGTGAGTTACTTCGTAGCTCACAGATTTGTCCATAGAAAGCATAAAAAAAGGGAAAGAAATGTAGCTGAAGAAAACCAAAGAATACACCATCACCAGATGCCAACAATTTTGAGCTACTCTGTGTGGTCTGAAAGTAATGAACGCCTAAAACCTGTACATTTTGCCCTATTATTTCCATATCGATCTCTAAGCTTCATGCACTTTAACTACCTCATTGTACAACATAATCAACCCTCTGGAGACTACAGGTCTACAGACTTCCACTACTCTGTGGTCTGAAGAGTCCCTTGCAAATGATCTTGAACCTACATCAGAATCCCGAACGCATCACTTCACGTAATCTGCGCCATCGAGGAAACGCGCGTACTCTGTCCCGTTGAGTCTGCTGTTCACATCGTCCCAGTTCCTGACAAGATCCGGAAGCGGGCGCGTATGGATCTTCACCTGCCTGCTCACCAGTTTCCTCACCGGAACACCGAGGAATTCCTGCACCTGGAACAATGCCTGCACACACAGAGGCAGAGACGTGCTATTAAGGTAAACCATACTCTATCAATACTTCGTTAGGGCATCCAAATGAGTTCTACTCCAGTACATTTCTGTTTCTGATTATGTCCTCGTAGTAGAGGATCATGCGCCGTGTCGTGTTGAAGCTGTCCAAGCAGTCTCCCATGTACTTCTCGACGTCCCTGATGTTTGAAACCAGGGTTGACACGTCCAGTTCTGGTTTGAATTTTGCGAGTATCTCGGCCTGGCAGAGAACAAAATAGACTTATCAGATGAAAGCACCAGCTAGTATGACCAACAGGTTGCAAATGAAAAGTCAGTTATGATGGTTGTTCGAAAGAGAGAGGAAGTGCATCAGTGTGCACCGGTTTAACATTTTATTCTGCTCATTCCAGATATTATCGACAATGGCGTTACAATCTTTCTTAAATGCAAAAGCAGAAGATTAAAGTTTGACCAGAAGTTCAAAGTTAGTTTTAGGATTTTAGCATTTCAGAGCCCCATGTCAGCAAAGAGGTAGTTTAGCTGTATGGTTTCAGAACCAGGGTAAGAAAACAAGTGCCTCGCATTTATGCGAAAAAACGTGAGGGAACAGAGCAAAGTCACTGCAGTAAATTTACTGGAATTCTCTGTGCATCGACGATACCTCTTCTTCCGAGTGAACGTGAGATTTATGGGTTCCATTCAGCTGCTTTGCATCTCTGTCATAGTTGTTGGCCAACACAGAGATAAGCCTGCGCAATGTATTTCTCCTGAAGAGAAATATCACTGAGACACCCTTCTTGTTCAAATAACTAAGTATTTCATCATGATGGTCCATAAAACCCTGGAAAACACAACCATAGCAGTTAATGACATAGAAATATTTTTTTCACTTGTTATCACTAGGCATAATGTTGTTAATGCTAACGGTACACTGAACAATACAAACATCAACATCAATAATCATGATTGACCAACCTGGCTTTTAGAAAAGTTTGGTATCATTAACGTGACCTGACATAGCACTGACATCTGAGAAATGCAGGCATGTTATGGTGTGGTACACTTCAAAACTCTTAACTGCAGTTTCAACATTATCTGAACCTTTGGCAAGCAAACCAGATCATAAGGCCAGTTTGCTCTCCATATTTCTATCCACAATAAATAGACTAGATTGCAATATAAATAACTATGGCAAGGCACAGCTTCAAAGTGTACAATTTCTGAAATCACGGATAACAAAGCAGCCAAACTACCGAAGAAATGCTGAACCTCCAAACATGGACCGAGAAAACAGATGAGGTTTAAATACCTGATTTAGCATCCACTTGAATCCAAATGCAGCCGTGCACTCATTCTTTGCTGCACTTGTGAGCCAGTCCAAGTCATACAGTTTGTCGAGTGTTTGTACGATGGACGATATATTTTGTCTTCTATCCACTCTGTTGAATATTTCGCCGTTCGAGCTGATGTTAGGGTGGCTGTTTAGCAGTGTCTCGAACCATCCACTTCCCGATCTTTGCATCGACACGATCACAAAGAACCGAACAGGATTACACGAGCATTCCGCCCTATGGAAAGAAACATGTGTCAGAAAATCTGCATACTCGCCAGGGGGATGCCAATAAAGAGTTTGTCCATCCTATAAAAGGAAAATTACCTGCTGTAACCCTTTGGCTTTGGGAAGTGCACGTAGGGCAGCTCCTCACTTGGAACATAAGGCTTTGCGCAAACATGTTCATCTTGTTCTTGTGCACCATTCTCCTCCACATGCTTGCTCTCCATCCTTATCTGATTGAAGGAGAGGTAGCACACATAGAGGCCAAAGAGCGCGATGAGGAAGACGAGGGTCGGCCGCGGCGGCAACGACGCCCCCTTGGAGCCTTTGAGCGGATATGGGTGCTGCAAGTTATTACCAAATCCATCCATGGTCAGATACTGCTGTTGCTAATACTGAACAAATAAGTAGCACCAAATCCATGGTGAGATACTGTTAGTAGTAATGAACAAATAAATAGTACCAAATCCATGGTGAGATACAGTTACTAATAATGAACAAATAAATAGTAGTAATACCAAATCCAGAAGCAGAGCGGTGGTACGGTACCATTTTGTGACTGAAAGTCTGTAGCAGAAGAAGATTCAGTGCGTGGGCCGGGTTCTGGTCCTCCTGCTCGCGCACAGCAGCAGAGTAACATGCCGAGGTCTCCTCATGGATGTCAGCAGCAGCTGGCCATGTGTGTTGGATGAATCGTCGCGCATCCTGGTAGGTAAAATTACAAATTCCTGCAGTCAGCAAACCCAGCAAAACACTCCCGCAAAAGAAAAGAAAAAGGAAAAGAACTCGTAATAGTACATACCAGCACCTAAGACTCTGCTAATTTCAAGAAAAGAAAAGCACCAGGACTCTGCCGAAAGGGATGCTTCCGGGAAACCGGGAGAACCCTAGGCTGAGGGGGAGGGAGAAGGGAGAGAAGCCCCGGGGCAGGATTCGGCGCCGAGAAATGGCGGAAAGGAGAGTTGGGCGAAGAGCGTTCCCGCGAAATGCCGGCGCGAATCTGCCGCCGAGAGCCTCGGCACGAAATCAGGAACCCGCGGGCCGGATTCGAGCTCCGAGGCGGCGAAGAACCCAAAGCCGGCCGGCTGGTTGGAGCAGGAGCAGGAGCAGGAGCAGGAGCAGGAAGACGAGCCCAGGTGAGATTTTGCTTCCCCGCGCCGCACAAGACAGGCAGCTCTGGGAGAGACCACGCGAAAAGGGAGGAGGGATCCCAACGGAACGGAAGAGTCACACGGCACGAACAGCCCCTCACACCTCAGCTGGCGCGTCAGCAGGAATCGCTCCCAGCTATGAAATGTATCTCAAATCCTATGAGTAGGAATAGAAAACAAGATGTCATTTGGTTGACATCAAAGAAATTTTTCCATTGAGTCTAGGCTCTTTTTTTTTTCTATGAAATGTGGAAGATAGGAACCAATCCTATGGAGGAATAGGAATCCATTCCTATGAACAAAAGGGCTCTAAAGGAAAAAATCCTATAAGAATCCTATTCTCTAGAATTCCTATGAAATTCCTCTAAACCAAAGGAAGCCTAAGAATGAGGGAGATAATGGAGCATGAACGAGCTCGGGTTTTTTTAAGGAAGAAGAAAGGAGAAGGGAATGGAGCAGGAACGGGTTTAGAGTTTGATTATTCGACGAAAGGGTGTGAACGACCGACGGGGTAGAAGAAGAAATTAGCTCAATTAGTTAATGCGGAGGAATTAGGAAATTGGGAGTGAGCGCGGCTGCCGGCTGCCTTGAGCCCTTGACGCAGAAAGTGCAGGCGGAGTTAATGAAGAGGGGGGCCGTCGCTGCGCCCGGTCTTGGTGGACCATCGTCGATTAAACCAAGTGGATGGGTGATGTCAATCAAAAAATAGAAAGAAAGAAAAAACCCAAAGGGATGGATGATGGTGCCGGCAGCCTCGAGAGACCTTTTTTTGTGAACAAAAAGCGGTTTCATCAGGCTATTGTTGTGGATCTGGTCCGTCCTCTCGGGTGGAGCGTCGGCTTGACCCGCGATGCTCGGCGTTTCACCGACACATCCTCATCATCATGCTTCTCCAAATGTCGCCGCGCCGCTCGGCGTACTACGCGACCAGTCCAGGCGCACCAGTTGTTCCATGCACAGGTTGTGATTTACTTTCTCCGGTCCTTTTTGCTCTGCATATTAAAATTCTTTGAAGTCAAACTTCACAAAGTTTGACCGTATTTATATAAAAAAATATCAACATCTGCCATATTAAAGTTATATAATATGAAACTTTAAGTCATGACACATCTATTGATATTGATTTTAGATTGTGAATGTTGATACTTTTTTCTATAAAGTTGGTCAAACTTTTCGAAGCTTGACTTCAGTTAAATCTTATATGCGAACTAAAAAAGAGCGGAGGAAGTACTAAACTTCTCGCACCAGATCATAGTAGGATTGTGTGCGCCCAATTGTCAAACAAAAAAGAAACAGAAGATCCTGTTTGCCCGTCCTCTGAATTCTTTTACACGAAAACGATTTGGCACTTCGACAAGTAACACGGACCGCCGTATTATTCACATCTTGATTTGTCTCTTCGTTTCTTTCCTTTCTAAATGCAGGTCGTGTGTCTTTTTTTTTTGCAAATAAATGTAGGTCATGTTGGGATTCGAAATGTCGCCACACGCGCTTTGGTGCAGACGACTAATCCCGACGTGTCGGTAGTTTTATGGGTGGGTATTACTTCCCAAATGTTAGACACGGGTGAAGTCTATTTTAAACCTTGAGAATGTAGAGCGTGACGCAAATAAACCCCGGCGTTCAAATCCCTGAAGTCTATACCCTAACCTCTCTGATCCTGGTTGTAATCGCCCCTACGCCAGGATTAGGACCGGATTTGCTGACATGGCATCGGGAAATGATGGGATTGCAAATTAACAATGCCACGTGAAGACGCGCCGCGGCTGCTGCTCCAGCTGCCATTGAGCTCCTTTGCTAGCTCTGCCCCGCCATCTGCCATCTGAATCTCAGTTTCAGTGGCTGCGTTCGGACGCATGCCACATATCCATGTTTTTTCTCACGATTTTTTTGACCACTTAATCATAACATATTTCATGCAAATAACAGTAACTTGTATGCCTGATTGTGTTTGCTAACACTTATTCTGGTTTCACCAATCAAATCGTAAACAGTAGTCAATATTTTTTCCCTTAAATAAAATAGACTGTACACAAATTCTTTCTGATACAGGCAGAAGAACAGAGGTAATCATCCGCAAAAAGGAAAAAAAAACAGAGGTAATCAGTAAATTCATCTTGTTATTATTGCTTTATTATCTGACGAATAGTAAATCATGGCCTACAATATGGACAATCGAAAATGACAGAAGAACATTTCCAACTACACTTGATTATATATATAATACTCCTAGTAATCAATAATGAATCATGGGCGATGGCGATGAGGAAATCCAATCCATGCAGGCAACAACACGATGGTCCATGGAGGCACGCAAGAAGGGGGCTGAGCTCCGACCATGATCACGCGGCGGCGGCATGAATGAATCGAACGGCGATGTGGGCCATGCAGCCGTACTCACGGGCGTGGGCGGCCACGGGGACAGCGTTGGCCGGGGTTGAGGGTGTCCTCGCTGCTCTTGGACGCCACCAGCGCCGCCGTGAACTGCCCAAAAGTCCGGCCGTACACGTTGACCTGCAGGTTGTCGAGCGCGTCGCGGAGCAGGCCAGCGGTGCCGTCGTAATGCGCAGGCAGTGGTTGAACCGCGCGCTGCGCGAGCAGTCGGTGTCGGCGGCGTCATCAGCCTCGAGCTCCACCAAGCACCAGATCGCCGATCTTGGACTCTGTGCTGGCGGCATGGTCGACGGCGATCCTTTGGCGAGCATCGCACATCGCAGGCCTTGGATCACCGAGGCGGGGGAGGCCTCGGAGCTCCGTGGGTCCACGCCAAGGGAGCGCAACCAGTGGTCGTAGTCCGCACAGTAAGCCAGGCAACCATGGGCCCACATGCACGTAGTTTTTTTTTTTGAGCATACATGCACGTAGTTAACTCACCCTAATCCCGTCATTTTCAGAGCCGCGTAGGAATCCTGTGTTTGGATACGACCTGAAGGTAAAAAACAACGGGGATAAATAAGGTCAGGATATGGATTTCAAGGATTTGAACATCAAGATTTATTTGCGCCGTTCTCTGTATTCTCAAGGTTTAAAACAAACTTAAAATCTAAGGCGTGTTGGCACTTAGCTCCTGACCAGCTGTTTGCCCGTGCTGCAACGAGGCGCAAATACTCTAGTGGTTCTACACTAAAATTGGCCAATGTACACCTTACACACACACAGTATTCTAGATTTTGATAGGAATTAATTTGATTTGAGTATGGGTAGGAAAATGCAAGGAAAAAAATTGATTAATTTGAGATTTTGGTAAGATTTGATTTGGCATGGGTAGGGGTAGACAAATAAAGTTTTTGCTTGAGTTGAGATTTTGGTAAGAATTGATTTGATTTGATTTGATTGGGTTAATGCATGACATGGTTTTGAAAAGTACCGATTTTATTTTGATTATTTCAAATTGCCCTATTTACGATTTTTTTTTCTGTG